CAATGTAAATGCATTTAAAATATTAATAGGAGATTGGAATTATAAAACATATTTTTAGAAAGTTTTCAACTTTTAAATATATAAATTGTTTATTAAAAACAATAAATAAGCGTGTCTTGTTTTAAATTGTTGAAATCTTTGGACCAACAATTTCATAACACATAGTATAAAGTAACAAATAATAAGGCAGAAAAGTCTAGAAAAAGTAGATTCAAAATATCAAGTTATTCTTACGGACTAAACTATTACATTAAAATATGAAGGGATATGTATAATACTATTGTACCACGTATAGCCGTTTAGCACTAATTAACCACTCATAATCATCAATTAACTAATAAAACTGCATCGTCACAAAATACTTAAAAAGGATAAAATTGTGTATTCCATTGGGAAACTGGCCACAATTTTAAGAATAAATGCCGCAGCTTTACTCAGATTCAATTCCAACGTAACATACAAAAACATAGTCATCTCTTTCACACTTACTGAAAAATCTGAGATAAAACGAATGGTTCTTTACATAACTATTCGATTTTTTTGATTCTTTTATACATGAAAATTGTGGGGCACAGTGGGCCAGTATCTGTGCTTACATAGACATTTAATACTTGACAATGTCTATTCTGGTGATGCCCAGTTTTTCCAATACAATTATAATAATACTAGCTTTCGTCCGTGACTGCACCCGCGTGAAATTAATAAGTAGCCTATGAATACATAGGCTACTTATTAAAGAATACTTACTTAAGAATACTTCCAGACTATTAAATATGAATTTAATCGAAATTCATTTAGCCGTTTAGACTACAGATTCTAACATCTATCTAGGCTTTCGCATTAATAATATTAGTATGATTAATTTTGCTATAAAATTACAACTCATCATGTTTGAAAAGCATCTTTTCTGTTGAGAGGTATAGACTGGCGAGAAGACCATCAAGGTTAGAACTGGGCAGGTAGGGTCTGACCTCGTCCATGAGGGTGTTGTAGTCGTCGAGGTCCAGAGACACCGATTTGTACCCTTGCTGGCTCCTGATGTATAACCTGAGAGTAGGCTGGCTCGTGATGTGCTCCTGCTGGCACAGGTTGCGCTCGCTCGCACAATTCACTTTACCAAAGTTCACCACTTTACCCATAAACTAGACACGAAAGTAATAAAATTTAATATTAATTAAAAAAAATCGATAGACTAAATATAATAGAAACATCGACAAATAAGCTAAAGAAAAAAAGGCAAGTTAGGCTTAACCATTAAATGCATGATGATGCATTTATACATCAGTCTTTTTTTCCTTACCCAATAGACTAATTTGAAAAAAAAAAAACATTTTTTTACTTAATCTACGTTCAATTTACTACCCGTTTCAATTTATGGTATTAAAAAATGCACTATTTTTAAGGGTTAAATTAGCCTTTATGTCATTTTCTTCAACGACATTTAAGAAATATATAAACTAGACATAGGGAACAACATTTTTTCACTGGTAACATCTTTGTACGGTACTATCTCAATGTCAAATTTGACACTAAAACGCTTCTCAGTGTTTAAATTATTTTTTGGTTTGCGATTATGTAAAAAATGTTTCAAGTGAAATGTCAACTATGCTTTCTCTATACATTTTTTAGAATTTCGTTTTTCACGTCAACTGTAGGTATTTTTTGGATGGAACATACCCTATGACTCTCCGAGGATCAATACCAATTTAATGATACCTCTTTGGTAATAATCGGTTCATTCGTTTAGGTTGTATGCCGTTACAAAGGAATAAAAAAAACAACTTACTATAGAGGCGAGCGCGAAATCGGGGTATTTCTCTAAGCAGTGGTAACACTGCGGAGATTGGAAGTACACCAGCCACGGCCGCTTGTACCTGTAACAATATTAACTAGCTGTATCTCGTGATATCGTCCGATATCACTGAAAACATAGCTTTTTTAATGGTGAAAGAATATTTGAAATCGGTTCAGTAGCTTTTAAGGTATTTCAATACATACAAAATACAAATATTATAAATGCGAAATTTTGGATGGATGGATGGATGGATGTTTGTTAGAATTTGTAGCCTAAACGGCTGAACGGATCTTGAAAAAATTTTGGCACAAACATAAAGGATAGTCTGTAAGAACACATAGCCTACTACTTTTCTTTTTTTTTAATATCACGCCAAGGCGGTCGCGGGCGAAAGCTAGTATTAGTATAAAAGTATACATAAATGTCGTCTAAGTATCTGTGTATCGGGCACTGACATCTGAGGGTCGAAGTCATGTGCCAACACCTGGTTGGCGAAGGAGTGCCAGGTCAGCTTGGTCACTGACTTGTCCAGGTGGTCCAGCACCCACTCCAGGATGTACGGCGCCTCAGACTTCTGCTGCAGGTTTAACCTATAATGTACACGAGGACGTTTATTAACATAGGAAAATCAACTTGTCTTACTAATATAATAAACGCGAAAGTTTAGATGGATGGATGTTTGTTAGTTTGTAGCCTAAACTGCTGAAGGGATCTCGATGATATACTTAAAGGGTAGTCTGGAAGAACACAGGCTAATTCCTTTGTTTTTTTTTTAATACCACGGACGTAGTCGCGGGCGAAAGCTAGTCGAATATAAATGCTAAATTATAAAAGCGTAAAAGATGGCTCCTATGTAGAAATTTAAGACTTTTTTTGGACTAGAAGATAGCTGGTAAAAAGATGAACTCAATGTTATAGACAACCATTTTTTTTACGCTAACGAAGTTCGCGACAGCTTGATTTGTAATAAATTCCGCGAGTACTGACGTGTAATGTTGTTTGTTGTTGACGAGGTAGAGCCTGGCGCTGGGCGCGCGCACGTTGGCGCAGAGCGCGCGCGGCTCCGCGCACTGCAGCACGCCCACACGTAAGTCTTGCAGCGGACGCAGCTGTATAACAATTTTTATTTACACACTAACTGTTCCCGTGCGATTTCCACATAAAGTTATGAAAATTTCATTTTATTGTTTACATATGTCAAATTAATTGCAAATGTCAAAATGACATGACGATGACAAACCATGGCAACCTTACTTCCTTGTTGGCAACAACTTATGGTCTCTTTCCCACATTAGGGTTTTTATCCAAAATATTTACCCCAAAACTTTAATGGCGTGAAACTATAATCCTAGAGCGAAACGTAAGTGTAGGGCTTTTAATTTAAAAAAGAATTATTCAAAAATATGCTGTGGTTGTTGACATCTTAGGCAACAAAGAAGTGTGTGTTTACGCTTTATTATAATAGTATATATTCACATATTTTTGCTTTTAGGTTAAAATGAGCACTTTGTTATATGATCAACTAGATTTATTAAGGAACAGATCAATGCCGACACTTTCATGGCGAACATCAAAGAGTATGAAAAGGAACTCGACACAGAATAAAAATATAAGTAATCATCATAGATCAATCGATATTGAATACAGACTGTAAATAATAAATAAATTGTTTCACTAATAAGTGTCTACATACGTTACTGATTCGGTTCTTGCTTATTCAGATTCGGTTGCGTAAATTAAATGAATTGCTCGCTGTTACACATGTACTTTACATTTTTTAAGTCTTAAAAACCTTTGTATTACTTTTAACTAACAATTCTACGTTAAAATCACACTTAGAACGATGCAGGAGTTAGGAGGATCTTATTAATACATTAATCGTATAGCAAGTATTTGTAAGATTACCCTCCTAGCGATGATGCGCCACTGGTGCTGCAGGTCGCGGCAGGGCTGGCCGCAGTCCGCGGGCAGGTAGGCC